GGGCCGGGGGGGGCGGCGCCGGGGCCTGCTGCTCGCCCAGGCCGGGGGGCTGGCTGCCCCCGGGGCCGCCCCCGGCCGTCCGCATGCAGCTGCCGCTCAGCTCGCTGCCCTTGTGGGCCGGGGGGCGGCCGGGCGCCGAGCCCTGGACGGAGCAGGCGGAGCCGGGGTACTCGCCGTCCAGGCCGGCCTGGCCGTAGGGCTGGTGGGCCGCGCCGTAGGGGTAGGCGTCGGCCTTGCTGTAGGTGTAGCCCCCGAAGAGCCCCGCGTTGTCGTAGTAGGCGGCTTTCTGCATCCTCCGCTCTGCGATCGCCGAGGCCCGCGGCCCCCGCTCAAATAACATTGACCGCCGCCCCGCGCCTCACGTCGTCGGCCCGGGCCACTCGCAGCCACCTGGGGAAGGGGACAGCAGGGACACAAAAGAGACCTTCAGTGTGGGGGGCACCGGCTGGGAGCCCACGGGCCGGCCCCAGCTTGCCCCGCACCCAGGCACCCCCAAGGTTCAGGTGGGCCCGGGGGCAGTGGGGAGGTAGCAGGGGCCCCAGGGAGAGACCGGGAGACACCAGGGATGGACCAGGAGACATCAAAGAAGAAGTAGGGAACACCAGATTAGGAGTAGGGGACACGAAGGAAGGAGCAAGGGAAAACAGAGAAGGACCAAAGGACACCGGAGAAGGAGCAGGGGATATCAAGGAAAGGGCAGGAGACAGGAAAGCAGGAACAGAGGACATCAAGGAAGGAGCAGAGGGTACCAGAGAAGAACCAGGGGACACCAGAGAAGGATCAGAGTGTTCAGGAAGGGAGCAAGGGACATCAGGGAAGGAGCAGGGTCAGCGGGAAGGAGCCAAGGCAAACCGAGGAAGGACCAGGGAGAGAGCAGTGCACACCAGGGAAGAACTAGAGGACAGTAGGGAAGGCGCCACCCCACAGCGATGGTGCTGGGGGGAACTGGGACACATTGTCGGGACTTCCTAGAGACCACTTTCTCGAGGCATTTTGGGGGGATGTTGTTCTTTCTTTGTTCTGTCTTTGGACCGTTCCCGCAGGAGTTTCTGTGGGTCGGCTCCCGAGGTTGCAGGCCGGGGCTGGGAGTGAGCGACGCCAGGCCACGCTGGGTGGTGTCCTCAGGGACCCACCGGCCCGTTTCGGCCGCCTGGCCCCCCCCAGCCTCCCCCCGCGCCCCCTCTCCCGCTCGGCCGCCACGCGTGCGCAGGGCCGCGCAGGGCTGACATGATGGATTGAGCCCGGGCTGCAGCCGGGCAGAGGCAGAAAAATCACGTCCCCTTTGTAAACCCGGCCTCCTTCTTCCCTCAGATTCCTCCGGAGTTAAAGTATAACCGGCGCCATTCACTCCCTTCACTTTGCACTATAAAGGAAGTCGCAGGTCAGCTCCCCTATTTTAATTCCGTGATGAATTAAATCCCCTCGTCCAACGTTTCTCACCCCTTTTATTTGTCCCCAATAGAAAGAATCTGAGCCACTGGCGACAATTTTTCGGGGTTTCTCTTCTTTTTTGCAGCCTGCAAACTTATGGCGCTCCTGTCCCCGTCCCCCAGACCCCCCCAGATCAGGCTGCTCGGCCCGAAAAGGCAGGGACAGCCCAGAGTCCCTTGGGGCAGACATTTTGGGGCAGGGTGCTGTTACCTTTCCCCTTGCCGCACCCGAAACTTCTCTGCGCTTGTTGCAAGGTAGAAACTCGTCTGCAATTTTGTTGCGGCTTTTTAATATTCCCTATTCTTATTTTTCTTGCCGGGGAGGGGTTTTTTCCGACATTTCAAGTAATTTTGTAAATTAGCGCATACTTCACCTGACAATGTAAGCCTGCAACTCAGCGTATCTTAAGATTTCATTGAATTTCTTCAGGGTTTAAGCCTATTAACATACCGGAGAAGAGTAGCTGGAAATTTTTGAACAGTGTCCGATAATTATCATTTCCCAAACTATACTTAAGCAATACCACCAGGGTACTGCTCTTTCTCCTGCAGCAATTGGTACCGTCGAGTACCGCTGATCTGTTCTCTAAAATTAACCGGGATACTCGTCTGTATAACTCAGAATAACCTCAGCGAGCTGCGATCCGCGGCCGCTCTCGGCGGTTTATCCCCTGTCACAAACCGCCGGGGTCCTTTTCTTCCCTGAACAAAAGCTTGGGATGATCTACGGAGCTAATGGAAATGGGAAAAGAGCTGTTTTCCTCTCCTGGAAAATTTTAGTAAAAAAAATGTCTATGGAAATGGACGGTGGCGACTCAAATGAGTTTTAATGGGCTGTCATAGTCTTGACGAGTCTTGAAAGTATTTTTTGTGCAAAATGATTCTGCCTCTCATTTTCCACTTCTATCATCTACATTTTCGGGAGTGGTCTGGACTGAGGACTTTTATTAGCACAACACTGCCGTAAGCGTAGGTTTTTATGTGCCTTGTAAAATATAGTTCCCAAAAGAATACGCAGAATCTTAAGAAAGAATATTGCTGTTAAGCTGTTAAAAGCCTTATTTCTTTTCTGAAATACCAACTGCTTGTGAACTCTGCTTGAACCTAAAAAGGAGGCTATGGGCCATAAATCACATGGACAATGCTCAACTGTTTGGTGGCTCATCTTTAGATCTTAAAAAGAGAGAGAGTGAGAGAAAGAGGGAGAGAGAGAGACCTTTACAGGTTTTGATTTTCCACGAGTGCAAGGCCCGGGGTGATGTTTTTATAGGGTAACACCAAAGCAGGGGCTCAACACTTGGTGGTTTGGCCAGAAACAGCCTCCAGGAAAAAAAAAAAAAAAAAAAAAAGTGACATCCAAATGGTGAGGCCGAGCCGTGGGAGGTGGGCTCGGAGGCACCGAGGGTAGGAAACCGCAAAGTATCCATGTCTGTGTTTCAGATTTCCCTTCCTCCTCTCCAGAAAGGTTAACCTCATCTGAACTGCTAGGCGTTGCGCACCATAATGGGGGTCTTTGTCCCGCCACTGGTTCACAGCGCTTTTGGAGGTTACCGACCCCCTCAACGGCTCTGTCTGGGCAGCAGCTGGCAGCCCACGCACCCACCCCGCGCGTGTGCGCGGAGCGCGGCCGGCCCACGCCGAGCCCCGGTCCGGCACTGCCAGCCGCTTTCCCCCCCGACGCTTCCATATTAAGCAGTGCTCTACTAAAACTTCCACTACACTTAATTCTGCCCGGGATCAATATCTAATATGATACCGAATAAATAAGAGGCGGTGAGAGCGGGCAGCGGAGCGGTTATTAAAGCAGCCGGAGCTCTCAGGGTGCATATCAATGCACCTGTCATTGCGGTTTGTAACAAAATTTATGACTGCTAGCGCCGTGGCAGTAAACGCTCCGGCCAGGAATGAAAAGGAAAACACTTCCCAAGCCCCGGCACTTTTCAGAAGTGCAAAGCAGCCGGCGCGTAGGAGGGAGCCCGGCAAAAGAATCCCCCGCTCGGCACGTTTCCCGGCCGCCGACCCGGGACAGCCCCGTATATAAGGAAAGCGCCGGAGCCGCCGCTGGACCCGGTGGCCGCGCCGGGCGACGGGCAGGGGAGACGGGCGACAGGGCAGCCCCTGCCCCGGGCGGGCCGCCGGGCACCCATCGCTGGGGCTGCGCCTGAGCCGAGGGGGGGGTCTCTCCTTCGAGGGGATACAGAGGGGCTGAGAGCACCGGGGATGGCGGAGGGGGGCCCTGCAGACGGAGGAGCGGTGTGGGGGGTGCTGGCTGCAGCACGGAGCGGTGCTCCCAGCCCCCGCCGGGAGCCACCCGCTCCCCCCGGCTGAGTCCAGGCCCTGGCTGCTCCCCAGCCGCGCTGGGCTCCCTCCGGACACGGGCCGCTGTCGGCGGGGCTCTCTGCGGACTGACACCGGTTTGGCGTGGACTGGAGGGGGGCGGCGGGAGGCCCCGGGTGTCCGCCACGGCGGGTGCCGCCGAGCAGCGCTCCCCGCTCCGTGGGGCCGCGCCGTGCGCCCCGCGAAGGGCCTGTCGCGCTGGGGGGGGTGGACGGAAAAGGAAATTCAGAGAACTCACCACACTTATGTTTTTTCTTGATTTTTGACTTTAACTGTGTGGGTAGGATCTTCAGGTTCCTTTGGATGATCCGTGGGCACGGACCTGCAACAGAAGTGAGAACTCTCAGCGGAAACGGCTTTGTTTTGTACTTTCTTCCTTAGGAGTTTGTTAATAAATGCACCTCTCGTCCACAACCCCTCACCGTGTTTCTCCGGCCGCGTCAGATGTTTTTACCAGACAAAGGGCAGATGCTTCTCTTCATTTATTAATAGCGCGTTACAGCGAGGCGGGGAGCAAAGAA